CGCTCGCGTAAACCAATGAGAGTTATGACGAAGTCCGTATGGAATTTCTGACGCAAATTTCAGCCAAATCCCCGACACATCCGTCCGGTTACGGCACGACGAATTCATTGAGAGACGGTGCGGCCGAACGCGCGCTTCTTCGCCTGCGCGACAAAAACTTTTCGCCTCGCGCCATCATATTTAACCCCATTCTGACCCCAACGATGCCACATGGCGTTGCTTTTCAACGCGCGCAGTCGTCCACGTAGTTTTGATAAATCACTATTTGCCCAGAAAATTGATTGGCGTGTAATCGGTTAGAAATTATGAAAGTGAAAAAATATTATATTCGTAGATTAAAAGAGCTCTAAGGCGACGTAAAACGACTGTACACAGCATTCGGTAACGTTCTGACATTTTAACAATTATCGGCTTTGTTTTATGGCTCGCGTAATGTCTGAGCGGTAAAACGCAACAGTTGCAATCCGGCGTTTTATTCGTGGAGCGAAGACATTTACCTGTCATCCGGCTGGCAAAGGTGTCTCTTTAATGCCGCGTATAAAGTTACAAGTTACAGTCGTTCGGTGGTGTGTGAGAACAGCTGCGCGATTCGCTATCTTATCGAACGCGACTATCGTTGAATACTTTCTTGGCGGCGGAGAGGAAGCGCGAAAAATGCGGGCGCGGAAGAGTAATCGCGCGATAGGAAAAAACATTGCGGGAACATGCATTCTTTTTCTTCCGTTCAAACGACAATCGATATTTCTTCGATATTTGTCCCGCGCGCGCTTCTTTCCAGGACGCGATAATAAATCTTGTTGATACACCGCTTAACGACATGATGTAATAAGCCTATCGCTTTATCTAGAAGGAAGTGCGTGCCGCGGAGTCGATCGCGATAAATCAAGCACGATCGAATCGCGCATCTGCTTCAATTTTTGCGACCGGAGCGACCCGCGCGCAATTCTTTCCGCGAGCACGAGCTTTTGAATGAAGCCGTCTCTCCGTGTTTACTTTCGTTCGCCCGCCGAGTTATTCTTTCAGTTCAGTTGAGCGTAGCGCTGGAATGTTTCCCAAAGTAGCTTTTAATTGACTGCGTCGCGGCGAACACATCAGCGTGGATAATCACCGGAGAAACATAACACGGGGCCCCACGTGATCCGTGACGTAACACCGCCTGGCATTCAGGCTCGAAAATATTTTTTCCACCGATATCCGCGATATCCGTGACAATACGCGGGATTCGCGGAAATGAGCTTCCGGTCGACGGAAAAACCAAACACCTATTTTTCCCGAGCGTGCGCGATCAAAGTCGGAGCGCGCGCAATCGGCGAGCGGCGCTCAAAATGTAGTCAAAATCAACGTGAGTCACGCGGCAAGGTGGGGTTCTCTTATCACCCGGTGATAAGCGAAAAGCGTCGGGGAAACGCATTGCCGGTGTACTCGTCTGCCAATACACAAATGCAACGTCGACTCATATCAACGAGCATCGCCCACTTCTTTCTTTTTTATCGTCGCCGAATATCTAATCGTACAAAGTTCGTCTTGGTCGATGATTAAAAAAACTACCTTTTTTCTCACGACAGAGAAGAAAACTGTCGTTCGCCTCCAATCGTAAAAAAGAAAAAAAAGAGAGAAAGAAAAACTTGCGTGGAAAAAAGAATATTTAAATGCATTCTCATTATCCCGAGTTCGCCGGCGTAATCGATACGCGATTTAATATTGAAAATTCATAGATCCTGCTACACGATATTAATTAACTCTCGAACGCGGGACCTCTCGGTCCCGCTCGGACCCGCGGCGCGGGTATGTAAGACGAGCGTTTTTCCTACCCACACCGCAATTATCTCTTGCAAAACAACTTTCTTCGCGGTATTTTCATACGTTAGTTTCCTTATCTGCATTTTACATCGCGACTACACACTTTAGCGCACGTTTTTAATTAGAATTCAATAACGTTAATGCGTAATACATTCTGAGAACATACTTGCGACACGTTAAAGAAAACAGTTAAATCGATCGATGATCTAGCGAATTAGAATCGAGCGTGTTTTCATTAGCGCGAAACGATCTGCAAATGCGAGTCGAATTAAAAAAAAAAAATCAAAAGTAACTAAATCACCGAAAGATACTAAAATCGCTATCGGCACGGAAAAAAAAGATATTCTTATTTTTAACATGAATGAAATCTTGAAATGAGATTATATTGCTTTAAATAAAGAAAAACTCGCTTGAATGAAGTTATTTTATATAGTTCAACCAAGAAAAAATATTCTTATTATTTGAGAATAATTTTCTTCAGTGGAGAAGAAAAAATGTTGGATAGAAAATAACATATTTTTCAAATAAAAAAAAGATGTCTTATTGTCAAAATAATTATATTGTATTCTTCAAGTGATCGTTATAAAATGGAAATATATATATAAGACTGTAGCATTGTTAAAATTTAAGATTATTAAATTCTTATCGGAAGATTATAAATTGTTGCGTATACACGAAACAATAAACGCGTTAATTTGAGTATATAAGCTTTGATTTGACGCTACTTTTTTTTCTATGGGAGAAATGCAAATGTCCGAATTGTCGCTGCGCGATATGCGACCGGTCGTCTTTACCCGATCGAATCCATTCGCGTCGCATACACCTTTCTCCCTCGCTCTCTCCGTCTCTCTTTCTCTCTCTCTTTCTCTCTCCGTCTCTCTTTCGGTCTCCCGACATTTCCGATATATCTCGCGCGCGGATTAATTCCAGACGAGGACGAGCAAGAGCCGTGGTGAACCGAGAGCTATCTTTAGTTCGCCTTACGAGCGAAAGAGAGTCGTACGGTCTTTCCCCGTCGGTCGAAATAAGACAGCGACCGATTTCTTCGGCGATGCGAGCGCTATTTTTCAAAACGAGGCGCACGGCCGGTTCTCGCGCCCGAGCCAATAATCGATAATAAAAATGTGACGCGCGAAAATAAACGACGACCGGATTTCTTTCCGACGAGTTCCGCGCGAGTCATCGTCGACTCGCGCTCCCGGCGTCGTTCCTTATTTCAGCATCGATGCAACGGACATATTTCTGTAATTGTGAGAGGACAAATGATCTCGGGGAGTCGCAAGCGTAATAAGTGTGCGAGGTGCAGCGCAGGTCAGAAATACGCGCATATATTTTGCGCAAAGGAGACTCGTAGCGAATCTCGAGCGATTCTCCGCTTAATAAAAACACGGGAATCGTCAATATTCCTTCGAGCCTAATTCACCGCCGTGTGCTTTTTAACATCTTGGAATTGGAAGAATATGTCGTTAAAAATAAACGTCTATCTTATCTCGGTGCTCTAAAATTACAAAAAAAAACCTAACATCACCTGCGGATAAAAATCTCGCCGCTAAACAGAAAATACTACTTTCGGATTTGAAAGAAACATTTCAGGCTGGGATTTCATTTAACGTTGTCAGATGCACCGATCGACTCCCAATGCGCATGCGATTTTCCGTAGGACAAATTTTGCCGTAACATGTGTAGCGCCGTTCACGATTACGAAATCGGATCGGTTCGACTTCGGTTCAAGAAAAATCTAATGACAAACGTTAACTGAAATCCCAGTCTTGGTGTAAAAATGTCTTCTCTATTTTTAGATTGTTCCTCTTCCAAATTGTTTCGTATTGCTGTTCGTCTATGATTTACAAAAAAATGCTAATAACTCCAAATAACATTCAACGTGATCTGACTTACAATTAGTGGCTACGAAAAATATCGTGTCGCGTGTTTGTATGTTCGTTCCGTAAATATTTTGAAGCCGGCGTTCGAGCCGACATAACCGAAAATCCGCGTAATTTCGCTAGAGCCGGCGATTAATTTCCTCGACGACGCGCACAGCTACCGAATTAATAATGCCGACTCGAATTCGAAGTGAAGCTCGCGGACGCGGTGACTCATCAGTGCCTTCGCACCACGACGAACATATTAATTCTGCAACATGTTTTGTCCTGAAGAAAGGAAACTTCCAACGTTTTAAAGCCAGCTCCGAAAAGCTACTCAATTCGATGGCAAGATTGCCGAGTTAAGATTGACGCTAATTAACTTTCGCATTTGAATGATTTTTAATCCTTCTCCAAATTTGCTCTTATTTGCATTTTCATTAAAAGAAAACTTGAGTGAAGTTCGAATAGCGCTCATATTTCGGAGCACGAATATTCCTCGCCAGAATGCAAGAAAATATTTGTAGAATTCTACAAGCCAGTTTCATAAACATCGATTAACTTTAATTGCAGTTTAACTCCGAACTTTCACTTTTCCCAATTCTAGTTCCGAGAAGAGAAGGAACAGTTTTAAAAGAGGTTAGAGTTAACCGACGTTGAAGAAACCGGCCCTAAGGATTTTTTCATGGAAGGGTAGACAAGCACCTGGCACTTGTACTCGCATTGCAACGGCATTGTACCTGCATTGTACCTGCCTGCATTGTGCCGACTTTCAACAAGATCATCTCAAATATAATCGCTCATTATCGTTAAACGTTGAAAAACGTAAAAGCACGAGAGAAAAGTGCAGAATTGTGTCCAATAAAATACCGGAATATCGATTTCAAAAACCGAAAATGTCCAAAATGGAGTATCAAGTCGTCAGACAAATTCGCATTTTCCTCACATTTCCTACGCTTTCCTTCTCGAAGAAAGTGGCAAGACGATTTCGCGATAAATATTCGTTCACTCTCGGTCTTGCGATTAATCTCACACATTTTTATTCTTCTACATTATCACATTTAAAGTCGCTGTATCAAGCCTTTAAACGTTGAGCCTCTCGATCGAGCCGAACAGACAATTTTGAACTTCTCGGAACGCGAAACCCGAAGACCAACCGAACCGTCGTACGGAGAAGGAAAATTGGGTTAGCGACGGGCTCGATGTCGCGCGTAAAGGCTCGTGCAAGAAATAATGTCGCTCGAAACAGATTCGGTGTGAATGAATTGCAGAGAAGTGCTTCGATCGCGCACCGAGGCGCGAGACAGGCGCAAACGTATGGAGGAGTTGTGTACTCACGTAAATCAGCCCGGAGTAATACCGGTCCTTGAGGTTATGCAAAACGGATGCCTCGTTCAGACAGGTAAGCTCCGCCATGTCCTCGACCTTGTCGAACTTGGGCGGATTCATCTTTTGTATATCGTCCTTCGCGACGAGTACACGCTTGCCGGTCTCAGCGATCTCCACCTCGACCTCGTCGCCGCGCTCGCCCTTGATGCCGGCGGCGACGAAGCCCTGCGTCTCGTGCGGCACCCACACCAGCTTCTTCTGCGTCCATTCCGCCTGGGTGGCCGGGTCGTTGAAGCTGTTCCTGTCCACCGACAAGAAGCGGAGCTCCGGATCGGACCGGTCTACCCTCGAGTCCACGTCCGCCATCTTTGTTTAGCGAGCGTGCACACGACGCGGCAAAGCTGCTGCTGCTGCTGCTGCTGCGTTCGCCTTGCGTTCCTCGAGTCCCCCTTTCTCTCGGCTCGCCCGCCGCTGCCTCGGTCGCCCTTTCGTGCACGACGTGCGCCTCGGTGCTCGCCCTGTGAAAACTGCCCGCGTACTGCGCGTATCGTGTACTCGCGTACGCGACACGATCGGGACCGAGTCCGATCGAGCCCAATTGGACGGCGGCTGTCGTTACTAGCTGTCGCCACGATGCGCGATCAACGACGAGTGTGCAGCGGCGGCACCACCACTACTACTACCACCACCACTACCACCAACTATTGCCACCACTGCGCCAACGAACGGACTCGCCCTCCTCGCGAGCGAGCACCCGGTCCGGTCTGCTGCTCGTCGCGCCTCCTCGCCTTCGAAAACGATGTCGCGCCGGCGACGAGAAACCGCACATGTAAGAGGATCGTGATCGAAGTAGCGAGTGCTTCGTTTTTCCGTTTTCTCCTTTCTTCGAACGCGCACGCGAAAACGATCGTTTTTTTTTAAATCTCTTCCTTTTCACCGTACGTCTCGACCGCACCGATCGCAACTGTTGCCGACTGTCATCGAGCGTGACCGCCTGCAGCTCCGCGCACGTTCGACTCGCGCAGACTTGCGATCCCTACCCTTCCCCAACCGACATCTGGGCGTCTATTCGGGCCGTTTTTCCCTGCTCGTTTTCAAATGTCTCGATCTCACTAGATGCTAGAGATGTCCGAAGTTCAAGTCGAATCAAGTACGATTCGAGTCTAAATAATCGACAACTCGATTTCTTCCAATTACTCGAAATTCTTTTGTCGAAAACAATCGATTTAATCGAATCGAGTTTGATTCGATTTGAGATAATTTACAATTACGCACGTTTGTATAGTTTGAGATTAAGTTTAAAATGTGTGAAAGATTAAACAAAAAACTAGAAATTAAAAAGATATTAAAACAATAATAAATAAAAATAAATTATTAATTATTAAATTAACCTATAAATACATATTTTTGGTGCAAATATTAAATGTTTTTCGTACTACAACTCGACATCAAATCAAAAAGATCCTTTTTCCTTTAATGTCTCCAATACGATGTTTCTTTTTTATTTGTATGCTTCATCGATAAATTAAACAGATTTTTTATTAGCTATAAACACGTTGGATACGTCCAACGTCCGTGAAACATCCGCGATTAATTATTTTATGCGCATCATTAAACATCATCCACTCTTTAAAAAAACATAAGAAGTCGATAGTCGAATATATCGAAATCTCAAAAGTATCAAAGTGTATTGTTGCAGTTTTATCGCGACGCTGATTGGTTATCTCAATGTCATGTACAAAAAATATATTTTGACAGTTTATATTTAAATGGTTAACAAGGCAATATTGATTAGCAATTTATAAATGTTTCTATGACAATTGTTTACATTACCTCAAGCTGTCAAGTTGTATCACTCTTAAAAAATTTCGTCTAAATTACCAAATATATGGTAATGAGAACTAAATCATTTCGTCCTAATTACCAAATATTTAGTAATGGGAACAAAATCACTTCGTCACAATTATCAAATATTTGGTAATTATTACCAAATCACTTCGTCCCAATTACCAAATAATTGGTAATTATTACCAAATCACATCGTCCCAATTACCAAATATTTGGTAATTACTACCAAATCACATCGTCCCAATGATTTAGATTTGGTAATGAGGGCGTAGTGATTTAGTAATTTTTACCAAATATTTGGTAATGAGGGCGGAGTGATTTAGTAATTATTACCAAATATTTGGTAATGAGGGCAAAGTGATTATGTAATTATTACCAAATATTTGGTAATGAGGGCGAAGTGATTTAGTTATTATTACCAAATATTTGGTAATGAGGGCGAAGTGATTTAGTAATTATTACCAAATATTTGGTAATGAGGGGGAAGTGATTTAGTAATTATTACCAAATATTTGGTAATGAGGGGGAAGTGATTTAGTAATTATTACGAAATATTTGGTAATAAGGGGGAAGTGATTTAGTAATTATTACGAAATATTTGGTAATGAGGGGGAAGTGATTTAGTAATTATTACCAAATATTTGGTAATGAGGGAGAAGTGATTTAGTAATTATTACCAAATATTTGGTAATGAGGGAAAAGTGATTTAGTAATTATTACCAAATATTTGGTAATGAGGGCGAAGTGATTTAGTAATTATTACCAAATATTTGGTAATGAGGGCGAAGTGATTTAGTAATTATTACCATCACGTTTCCATTACCAAATATTTGGTAATGGGAACCAAATCACTTCGTCCCAATTACCAAAACGCTTCTCCAGTGCAGTATTCAGCAAAATGGCGGCCATTGGATACTGCACTGTGTGAGACGAAATGGGAACGCAGCCATAGTTTGATAGCTTGATAGCGAAGGTTATTTTGACGGTTATTTAAAATAAAAAAATTTATCTAAATATTTAGATTTCCTAATTATTAAATTACTATAATAAGTGCGCGCGCGCAGCGCGCGCCTGTATTGTTCTAGTTAAATTAAATTTTTGAATGTATGTTTCTTTACGATTATTCATATTATTGATATTATTTAACAAAAATGACAAACGCGTGGCGCAGTTTTTCACCCAATCTTTAACAATCTTCGTGTTATACGTTAAAATTTTTTCAGTCTCTTTCTTTTACTTCACATAACTACGAAACCTCGAAATTTTTCTTGTAATGTTGATTCTCGCGGCTGCAATATGATTTTAATCGCAAAACCCCAACTCAGAGTTCTAGATAAAAATAAATTACATGTATCGCGAAGGCCAGGATGTACCGCATGGCTACTGCTCAGCCGTAAGAGATGATTTTACATATTTCATATTATTTTTTCAAATTTGATTCATGAAATTTATGTCAATATTTTTTAATTATGTATTGATAAACATAATAATGAAACGCGTAGCACGTTTGATTTTTTATAAATTGCAGTACGTAAAAATTTAACGTACGTATAATTGAATTATAATTTCGTATAAAATCTTTTGTGCTCTAAATTTTCAATCAAAATTTTCTGAAATTTTTTTCATCTAAATTAAAATGTGTATATATATATTTGTGCATATAATTTTGCTATTATATTTATTACTGCTGAAATGTATTACCTTTTTCAGTGTCGGCGGTAATTTTTGTCGGAATATTAAGCCATCTGACAAACAATGCCTATCTCTTGATTATCTTACTTCTGAGTGAGATTATGTTCTGGCTAGACAATTTTGGAGAATGGGAAGACTTGATATTGTATAAGCCGGAGAACAAAGCTGTCGTGGAAAAATTTGTTTGGAGCGATAAATTATGTTCAAAAAATTCTGGTGAATCTTCTTTGATGAAACTCACTGACATCCGACATGTTGGAGTCTCCACCGAGATGGGTCTCTTCATCCTACACAGAAACGGAAATACAATTACTCTCAGTATGAAGGGCTTAACGAGGAAGGAAATACAAGATTTGAGAAAAGAAATCAACCATTTTTTAAATATGAGTCGGCTCAAGTACCTTGATCACTCTTTGATCGATCCTTCAGACCGATTATTACTCGCTTCCGATTCTGAGGAGAAATTCTTGCAAAATTTGCCAAGAACGTGTCTACCCATGTCGAATGAATTAACTGTCTCTGATAATGTTTTGGGCAATAGCAAAACATGTTACAGGACACAACAGAATTTGAGCTATCCAAATTTAATGCATGGGGCACAATTTAATAGCTATCAATCAGCAAACTTGAGAAAAGGTCCTTTTACCGAAAATTCCACACGTTTTGATAATATTAAATGTAGTAGGAATATTTGTGCCGTGCCTACAACTTGCATTTTTTAAAATTTGACAAGAATTGTGATTAATGGAACATTGAACGTTGTGATGTCTTTGATGTTGCACCTGTAATTATCTGTTGAAAATAAAATTGTATGGATTTGTTTTCTGCTGCAATAAATAATTTATTACTAAATAACAATAATTTCTGACTTATCAAAGAGAATATTAAAACTTGATATTTTATCACATCGTCAACAATCTAAGTAATATATATTGTACTATTACAATAACTGTATAATAATTAACTTAGCTTTGCATGCCTAGACTTTTATCACAATTAAACAGATTTTTATACAAAGTTTATTGGACGAGTTCTTCACAAGCATCTTCGATGTTCGGATATTGATACTGAAATCCTAACTCTGTAGCGCGCTTCGGCATAACTTTCTGCCCCTCCAGCATAATCTAAAACAATAAAAATATTGAATTAAAAATAAAAATATCGAGATTATTAAGTAAGCGTTACTAACTTTTGCTCGTTCTTCACTGAATAATATTTTCAGGACAAAACTCGGAAGAGGTATAGCAGCAGGTCTTTTCATTGCCTTTGCGAACGCTTGCGTAAATTCCGCATTTGTTACAAGCTGTTAATATTCATAATTAATAAGTAATATACTTTGATTGAAGAACAATGTAAAACCATGTTACCTGAGGCGCAACTCCATTTAATATCCCGTGCACATTGTTATTTTTAAGCGCCAACATAAACATATTAATTAAGTCAGTGATATGTATCCAGGGCATGTGTTGATTTCCAGCTCCTATTGGCCCACCGAGACCGAAGAAGAATGGTAAATAAATTTGCTTGATCATACCGCCATTTCTTCCCAATACAACTCCAGATCGTATTATCACTTGTCTAATATTACAGTCCTCTGGTAATTGTGCTGCCGCCTCCCAATCGTGACAAAGTTCTGACAAGATAAATAATGTGCTTAAAATTATGATCAATTTACGAATATCGCATTAAAAATAAAAATCAGAGCTTTACTTGATAGAAAGTCATACGACTCGCATTTACTTTCTTCTGTATATACAGTATCATTAGGCTTGTAATACGCAACTCCTGATATGGTCGCAAAAATTGTAGCTTTGGTATTCTGTATAGCATCAGCTAATGCCTTTGTCGTTTTCACCCTGCTGTTTCTGACATTCTGCTTGAAGCCCGGTGACCATCTCTGAGTAGGATCGAGTACATTTTGACCTGCGACATTGATGACAGCTGATGTATTCTCCGGTAGTCCGTAGCGTTCTAAATCATTCTATAGATTTTATAACAGTCATATTTTTGTTAATTGTTGCCAACAGATTTTTTAACGTATAAATTTATCATCATGACTTACCCACGACATTCTATTTGGTCCTGGCATTCGAGAGATACATGTGCAAGAGATACCCTCGAGAGACAGCGATTTTATCAATTGTGATCCTACGAAGCCAGTACCACCGCCTAAAAGTATTATATAACCTTATTAGTGATACAACTCGATCTCGTATTTTGTTGCAGTATTGTATTACGAATTCATAATAAATCAATTTACAGCTTACCAACAACTACGTGTTTTAAGGCCATATTCGAAAATAATTGAGATCTGACACACTTTTATGTCAGATTATTTTATAAACGAATTTGTCAAGTCCGACCGGTCGTGACGCGAATAGCAGTTAACCATCACAATGACAGCTTGCAAAGTCGTTATACAATCACAATTTTTCGTCGTAAATATCATATTAAGAACATAAATATCAAAATTCTTTTACATAATAGAACTGCTTCATTGAAAAGAATAACAAGATTCTAAAGATTCTTATCGTATATGCAACATTTTCTTTGGTCGCGATCGTCCATGACATTCACGAACATCAATCACGTTCGAGTATTTGTTGCTCATAAAAATTAATAGCGAATTAATTGTCTAAATATTGTTAGTCTGCAAATTCGTCTTCAAACGTATCTCGTTAATGCTACTGTCGATAGAAATTATGTATAATGTAGAATGAAAGATTATATATATTTTAAAACTCGCGCCACCATGATATTTGTGCATATAAAGGTATATCCAGACAAATTTGCATGTGAATAAGAAAATAGATCGGTCCATCTTTTTATGAACCAATTCATTTCCTTACGCATACGCTTGTGCACTATGCACGTTCGTCTGGATACACCTTAATTCACAATTACTGCTTGTTCACTCAACGGCTGTGCAACCGTTGTTATTTTCTAAATACAATTAGTGGTAGAATAGGTTAGGTAGGCTCGTAGCCGCGTGAATGTACCGGCGGAAAAAGTTGAAAATCTGACACGAGTGATGTCTCTCGAGGCGATTCATTAAACCGTCGGGCTTTGGTAAGTGTCGTTGCGAAAACGCATTGTAATCGTGAAAGCAGCTTTTATACCTTTGCATGGGAAATTGTGGGTGGGGGAAAATCTAACCTCTATATGTGCCGCTTCGATTTTCAAAATGGCGTGCCCGTTGTAAGTAGCAGCGAAAACTTCTGCTCTGTTATCGCGTGTTGAATTCATCGCTCGTTCGTCCTTCGTCGTTGCATCGGGCGCGTGTTCGTTGCCGCCCGCGTAACGAAATTACGTTAAAGAAGTTATGCCACTGCTCGCGCGTACGGGATAGCAAGTTTCTTCCCCCTTTTTTTTTTTTTAATTTCTTTATGGAAGAACCGATGGAAATCTCAATGGAAATTTTCCTGGCTGCATTCTCCGTGTTATTTAGTCTACTGATAGTATGTCTCCTTGTTGTGATAGGTAAGCATGTTGCTACTGCGCTAACTTTACATTTAGCATTGCGTCAACTACGATACCGTTGCAATTGCATCATTAGAAGAAAACGCAGTTTTCTGTACAAAAGGGAAAAAGTTTCTTATTTTACGCGTATGTGACGTGTGATACGTTGTTAATGTGTGTGCCAATATTTTACATTCGAACGTGCATAAATGCACAACTAGATTCTAATATCTTCTAAATTTAGAACCAATTCATAGTTTCTATGTATATTGATAAGCATGACTCATGATAAGCATATCTGCATCGTGCGTATCTTCGTATTATGTATACATTGACATTGATCTTTTGAATAGCAATAAGGAATCTGCAATAATATATTTGATATTAAATAATACTATACAAGTCTACAAGATTTAATAAAATTATCAAGCATTAATTAATTAAATTTTTTAACCCAATAAAAAACGTAAATCCTTTTTAATTTGACTTATAGAATTTATAATTGTCACATCCTCGCCTGCATTATTGTCTTTGATTTTACTTTTTTACATTTATATTACATAATGATTTTTCTTTTGTCAGGTTGGTACTTAGTCTGGACATTTTTCTTGTCACGATTCCGATTTGTGAGGGAGTTGACTGGAAATGGAATGAGTGAATCCTCATCAGTTACTGATTTAAAGAACGGCCGTTCTCGCATAAAGAAACTTCGACGTGACTGAATATAGCACAATATTCGACCACTCTTATCATTGGACAACGACATTTGTAAGAATACAGCGACTACGATAAAACGAAATTGCTCTTGGACATCTTGTGACGGGATTCATTTGACCAAAATGTCTGTAAATATACGTTGCGCAACCACAGAAGACTTGCTAAACATACAACACTGCAATTTACAATGTCTACCTGAAAACTATCAGATGAAATATTATTTATACCACGCTCTCTCTTGGCCACAACTGAGCTACGTGGCGGAGGATGAGAAAGGAAGAATAGTGGGATACGTGCTCGCCAAGATGGAGGAAGATTGCGAAGACAATCCCCACGGTCACATCACCAGTCTGGCTGTGAAACGCTCTCACAGAAGACTCGGCATCGCGCAGAAATTGATGAACCAGGCTTCCAGAGCGATGGTAGAATGTTTCGGAGCGAAGTACGTTTCGTTGCACGTGCGCAGGAGTAATCGCGCGGCTCTCAACTTGTACACAAGTAGCTTGCAGTTTGAAGTGTCGGAGGTGGAACCAAAGTATTATGCTGATGGCGAAGATGCTTACGCTATGAAACGTGATCTCACCAGCTTCCATCACGAGAAGGCTCTTCGGGACAGAGCGCACAAGGAGGGCAACGTTCACACGCACCTCGGCAGATGTTGCGGCGATCATTCGTAGCCCGTTCCTCGTCTGCTGCTGTCGAATTGGTACTGATTCTTGGATCACTCGCTTTGTACTATATCATGTGAACTTGAGAAATTCGTTGCATATTTTTGCTGAGGAAAAAAATTCAATAAAAATTATTACTAGAACTAGTTGTGGATACTTAATCACTTTCTGTAAAATAAAAGCTTCTGCTAATCAAAGCCCGACTTGGATACACTGGTAATATTTTATATGCGACTGTATGAAAGCTACATATTTGTCAAGAGAGACATATTTGCACAATTGAGTAAGATTTGACCTTGGGATTGTTGTATCTTTCAACTTAGATTATATAAGTATTCGTATTGTGTTTCGTTTACACTGTAATGTAATTAAAACTTAGATATGTAATATAAAAAAAAATAAAGGATTCTCGAGAAAAGCTACCTACTTGATCTCGATTTATTTCATTGAGAGAGAGAAGCTTTATTGAATGATCGAAATCATGATGTACAAGTAACGCGCCAATGTGCAAAGTTAATTGTTGAGAGCCATCAAGCTTATTAAAAAGTATGAAATATATAGAAAAAAAATATTTTACAGCAATGAAAATGGATTCAATTTATACAAGTTTTGCTTACATTTAAAGTCGAATCTACGAATATATTCATCTCGATATTTTCTTCTCCAAATACTTTGTTCTTTCTGTATACTTTGTCTTAGAAATTATTTTTGACATTGCACGATATTCAAACAAATTTACTCCACTATTGCGTCTCGGGTATATTATTCCGCTCATGTATACATACTCCATTTTTGTAATAGGAATAATTATGTATATATATATATATATATATATGTATAAATATGTCTATGTACAAATAAGATGTTCTTAAGGTAACATAATCAATTGTTTAGTTCGCAACGCATCTCAGCTCTGCACGAACGGCACGAAGGAATCTCTAATAATAAAACGCAGGAATTGTCCTCGCACGGCTATATCGAAAGCATGATTTAAGCGTCATTTATGATAAAACGAGTGTTTTCGATGTGTAGTAAATCTTCTAAAGATATCACGCGCGCCACATCGAGAGTTTTTCCTCGCCTTAGAATAATCCGCTCTCGATATGCAGCTTGTTTTACAATTTATAATAATACGAAATGTTATTATGTGTATACACATATAAGTCTACGAATGGTCGCGAGAATGGTATACGATGGTATACGCGAAAGGATCTTCCAGGTACAATGTACAAAACAGGGAAATCAGGGAAACGGCGAACTAACGTTCCGCATGAATATTCGTCGATCTGCGTTACAAAACGGAGAAACGAGTCCAAGTTAATGTTTATGACATGATATACCTGAATACATAGTAATAATAGTTCAACGCGGATGATAAGCACCTATCGATTCGACTATCATATAAATTTCTAAATATACAGCTCTAAATATTCTATAATATATGCAACTGCCTGCCATATGTATTATATTACAAAAACGCTTCGTCGATAAATTATAATACAGGCCTCGTAAACGAGGTTCGTGTACGAACGCTTTTCTATACGCGATATGCTTAGATATATAATCTCTAAAAAATAAAAGTGTGTAAATAACTATCGTAAAAATAAATGTTAGAAATTGCCCTAAAGAGTACATGATGTCTCATTTCTATTACAATAATAATAAATTCATTAAGCAGTTCAGCAATCAATTCTTTAAGTGAAACGAAAGTCGAAAGAGATAAAATTTCATAGAGTAGAAGGCATTCTACTAAATGCTCGTTAAGGCTGCAACAAAAAACGGCCGGTTACATCTTAATACACGGCTGGCGACATATATAATCGCGTTCACAGTCATACAATTATATGTTTTCATCGAGACGCAGCAAAAACTCCAATGGATAGAAAGTCGGAAAGTTTCGCATGTGTTGAGCGAGTCCTATAATCGGCAAGTTATTTTTAAGTACACTTTCGCATGTAGAGAATGCCATCGGAACGAGTGCGCCGCGAAATAGCGATTGGATCGTGCTCTTGGCCTCGACAAGTATACGCTCGAAAATAATCTAGCTTAGGATTTTAACGCGACGATATTGTCAGATCTACAGCTTAGAGTCTATTTTAATGTAAAAAAGACCGTTTCGATGGTTGTAAGTAATTAAAAAGTGCAATTCCACGATTCGTTTAAACGAACAATCGGGGATATGAAAAAGATTTGATCGAAAATGCATTTACGTTTCTCGGATATCTGTTTGTCCGCGCAAGTCTGCCGCAGGCGACTCGGGTGTCCTTAATTTTAATAACATCATCGTTCGTTCGTTCTATGAGAAAGGCGTTGTCGGTCTCGTTGTGCGAGAAAATTCGCGAGTACATGTACTTATCGTGGTGGTTTCCGGCGAAAAACAGTTTAGAAATTCGATCCGCCGCTGGATTGCGGCTCACGTTGTGCGTTCGTGACTAATTCGCTGTTGTGGAAGAGCCTGGTAAAAAGGCCTGGGCGCCCGAAAAAGTCGTAACCCGGCGGTAAAAGCTTCGTATAAAATCCGTTTAAAGTAGTCTTTCAAAAAAACCACTCGTAACAAGTAATTTGCCGTAAGGGTATCCCAAAAAGCGTACTCCCCCCTTTCCCCCCCCCCCTCCGCGGGGGAACTTACTATCGAATTTTTCTTGGTGTTCTCGATTGAACTGTAGAAACGGAAACGCGACTGTTCCTCAATCGGTATTCATATTGATCTTTCGCCTTTCGGGCGAAAGCAACGAGTTCTCTACGGAAAAACGGTTTAAATGCACCACCGACGTCGCCGATCGTCGATTTCGGAAATATCGAGTCGACTGTAAACCGCAGTTTAACTTATTCTTGTCTGTATTTCGCTTCTTGGAAGGGGAATCGGTTAAATTGAGATTCACAGCTGACCGATCGAAACCGGTTTGAAGAGAAAAATATGAATACACGTTGTCTAGTTGCGTGTGTATTGTGCGCACGCGTGTATATTCTACTGTATACGTACATCTACGAAACTACTAACACGTTTAGCTGCATACGTCGCGTTGGCGCGCCGCCGAAATGGCGCTCCGCGACACGGCGGACAAACGCTGTCTGCCGAGTCGCCAATTCGCCCAAATCACTTCGGGAGTGCCTCACGCGTGCCAGCAAGCTACCACTTAGCTTCATTATATTTTATTCCACACGTTCTACCTGAATGCCTAGTTGAAACGACATGGCTACATGATTCCTATGTAAGATTACAAATGTTTATAATTCTTGAGTACGTTTACAAAGACACTTGCCTCAAGATTGTGGTTTTCTTCTCGTTTCTTACGATCTATTTACCGGAGCTTTGGCAGTAGTAGGTTTCTATTTTAGGCCACGGATTCTCTGTTTAGTGATAGCGCGAAGGGATGAAGTAGCAGCTGCATGGGAGATGCTAACGTGCGCGGGTATCCAGATTTGTTCTCTGCTTTGTAAAACGGATCATATTTGATTATCTCGCCGTTTGTAATTGAGAGTACAGGATTCCTAAGTGAAATACTTCTTTTGCACTGATGCTCGTTTCCTTTTTAAAAAAAATATGAGACTTGAAATTGTATTCTCGTCAGTGAGTGGTTCAAGCCATCAAAGCAACAGCAGCAGCCATCGATGATTCGCATCTCGTAAATAACGCTTGAAGAATTCGCGAGACTTTCCTGAGATACTTTTGATCCGTCCTTTTACAAGAGCGCACATTCACGCTTCATGAAAAAGCGACGTTTGCTCGAAACGCTTCGACGAAAATGTAGATAATAATACGTCCGATTCTTCGAACGTTATCTTCGAATTGGCAACACGATCGGTGTTCAACCTGATCGCGTTGGGTAAACTCTAACATACGTTGCTTCAATCGTCCGCAGTCTCAAAGTATCTCTCTGAGGAAGCAGCTGTCGATCATAAGGACTGCGTTTCAATTCGAGGAACTTGTAGTTTCGCGACTGTGTCGTGAGGAAATCCTCTTCAGGGCTGCTGAGCGGCGTGTATCATGGCGACCTTGAGATCCTTGGCTAGATGCGAGACGTCGACCACGCTGTCGACCATATCCTGGACCGCGGTGACGCTCGGGAAGAACTGGGCGGCCTGCTTCGTCTTTTGCACGGTATGCCCGAGCGCCTCGTTCAAGGCGTTCGCGCATTGCAGCACGCGCGTTCGCACGTCGTTGCGCGTCACGTTCCGGTGCACCGTGTCGCCAATGTGCACGAGTCGATGCGCGCTCAGCACAACGAATTTGCCGTGAGCGAGGAAAACCTGAAAAGTTATAACGTCGATTAGAATACTTTTACGCGCCATTCCACGTAAAATTTTTGTATATGGAAAAAGATATTCTTATTTTTTAAATATCTTTATTTTTAACGCTTTAAACGAAGAAAACTGGCTTGAATGAAGTCATTTTATATAGTTCAACCAAGAAAAAAATATTCTTATTATTTAAGAATAATTTTCTTCAGTGGAGAAGAAAAAATGTTGGATAGAAAATAACATATTTTTCAAATAAAAAAAGATGTCTTATTGTCAAAATAATTATATTGTATTCTTCAAGTGATCATTATAAAATGGAAATAAGACTACAGTATTGTTAAAATTTAAGATTATTAAATTCTTATCGGAAGATTATAAATTGTTGCGTATATACGAAACAATGAACGCGTTAATTTGAGTATACAAGCTTTGATTTGACGCTACTTTTTTTTCCGTGTAGATTGTCTCAATAATGTACACAACCTCCTCGATTTTATTTTAACCAATTATTTTCTATAAACTTTTAGCAATTATCTTCCACGTGTTCTATTTTTCATTTATAATGTCACAATACTGCTCGGTTATCTTTAACCGCGATATTGCGTGCAGTAAACCTTCGGAGAAAATGAGACCATCGTGGAAAAACTAATGGAAACGTGCAATCGACGTGTGCCTTGTCACATTGTAGCACACTACTGCCATTATCAGCAATTTTATCATTCTTATCGAGACCGTTGACCTACATGCATATGCGCTTAGGTGATTTATGATTACGAAGAAGTAATGTCGAAACGAAGCGTGCCTTTATCGCAATTTTTCAAATAAATTTCTAAAATACCTGCCAGAAGTTTAAATTTAAATTTTTGTCTGAGAAGGCAACGACGATGACACCGCGTCGAGATACGGACGACGTTGCTGGCCATTTCGGCCGTTCGACGTCGCGCCATGTACGTCTCAATGTCCGGATATTTACGCGAGGATACGCTGTGGGTGGCGCGACTAGCATTACAAGGAATCTCAACCGCACTCGCCTTGGGTGGCTGATTGTGCTCGACTGTCTGCAGGAAGGCGTCGATGGCGTGTGTCAGGTGCGCGCCGTGCGTGATCACCTGAGCGGCGTAGAAGGCCAGCAATTGCTTGTCACTGGGATCCATGGGCGTCGGTGTCGTGGGTGGCATCTGAATCGTCGCATTGTCCGCCTCTGACACCAACAGATCGTAATTGCTGCGCAGCTCCTGCGGCAACGCGGCCCGCAGCTCCTCGCGCTGCTTCGCCACGACTTCCCGCGAATCGAGATTCACGTAGTCGTAATCTTCGCCGGCGCCGCTGTTGTTGCTGCTGCCCGTGGAAATGATCGACGCCCGTTTGAAAAGCAACGTGGAATTTCCCTGTACACGTGGAATTCCTTTGTTAGCGATATTGTTTCCCACGGCATCGCGCGTGTAATGTAATATTCTAAGAGATTAGTAGGAAGAATTTTCAAGCTTTCAGAAATCAAGAATTGGATTTGCAATCGCCAAGTTTCTACAAACTTTAATCTTTATAGAGAATATCAGAAACGAAAGAATTAACTTCTTAGATTTAAGAATTTTTCGCATTCAGAATATAATTGCATAAAAAGATCTGATAAAATAAACATAAAAGAAGTATATTTAATAAAAATTCAAACCAACATTCAGACGTCGCTGATGGAAATATTTTTCTGAAAATTTAACGAAATTTTGCTGAAATGTATTTGAAAATTTCTCTCAATTGCCCGCATTAATTAATTTCATAAATATTTCAGCAGTTTTTCACTAAAAAGTACCAGTTTTCAGTTTAATTCAATAAATTTCATAATAATAATTATTTCAAAACTTTTTTATTACTTTTCAGCAGTATATTTTAACTTTTCTTATATTTCATAGTATTACATTAAATTTTCCTACGAAAAATTATGATTCATTTCGAAATACATTCAGTAATTTTTCAAAAACTTTTACTTTCGATTTCATAGTGCTTTCAGCAAAATATTTCCATCGGGATTAACCCATCGCTCTAAGAACTGAAATTATTCGTGTCGGAATGATTATATACGAAGGATGCTTGCCTGAATGAAACTCGCGACCTGACGAACGTCTTCCGTGAGTGCCCGGGCGCACGCGATCAGCTGATCGAGGGGATCCGGCTGCACAGACGGTAGCAGCGAAGGCGGGGATCCGTTGGTAGGTGTCGGCGTATCGCCACCGCCGCGACAGAGCTTACTCGCGTCCCATTCCATCGTGTCCAATTCAGTGGCGGCTTCCTGCACGAGCTTGTCGGAATCACGAAGCGCCTTCACGAGCGGCCGTAATTTCGTCGCCAGACCCTTATCCGGCGCCTTGCCCGCGTTGCCCAGCGTACCTGTGCGCCAAAACTCTCCATTTTACCACCTTTTTCACAGCAATGTTCTGCGAGGAATTCTAACGCGATAAAATTGCAATATTTTCTGCGATAATTACATATATAATTGAATAATATTTAATAAATCTTAGGTTGTAATGTACACGGAGAAAAAAGTAGCGTCAAATCAAAGCTTATATACTCAAATTAACGCGTTCATTGTTTCGTGTATACGCAACAATTTATGATCTTCCGATAAGAATTTAATAATCTTAAATTTTAACAATACTGTAGTCTTACAATACTATTATTTCCATTTTATAATGATCACTTGAAGAATACAATATAATTATTTTGACGATAAAACATCTTCCTTTTATTTGAGAAATATGTTATTTTCTATCCAACATTTTTTCTTTTCCACTGAAGAAAATTATTCTCAAATA